TGGCCCTGGATTATCTGTTGGCAGAACAGGGAGGAGTATGTACAATTGCCAACACTTCTTGTTGCACATACATTAACACCTCTTTCTAGGTAGAGATGGACACTGAGAAAATTCAACAAACCACCTGGCTTCAACAATTAACCATCAATCCTCGCAATTCAGTATGGGCTAGGAAATTGAAAACTGGTTCTCTAACTTGTTCTCCTGGACCCCATAAGGTATTAAAAACTTTCTTATGGGAGGTTTCCATTTTCTTATAACCTTCCTTTTCTCATCCATACTGCTTTATGTTATATTTTGCCTAGTGCTTTCTTGTCTTCCATACTATTGCAAATCTTCAACTAATACCTTTCGGTCCAAGAAAGAGGTCTGGGACAAACAGGCTCAGACCTTACATTTTAGAAATAGAGAAATACACTAAGTTTTAAGCCTGAGATTAACAAAGATATGCTGACCTTGTATAACCAGATTCCTACCCTTGCTTGAGCTTCTGGTTATAATAGTCTTTAACCAGTCTTCAGTCCCAGCTTCTCTAATCTAATTATTTGTTTTCTCTAGGACATCACAGGACAATGGTGATCCAGGGACTCCAGCCACTCCCCACAGCAGATCCTGCTGAAATAACATTAGAAATCACTTTGGGGCCAATTTAAAGAGACAGGGTGAGAGCTCTGTGACTCCAGCTAGGTAGGATCTATGAGCCCCTGGCCAGCCTGAAAAAGCTACAGAAGACAGACTTCCACTCTTCATCTTCCCAATAAATATTTCATGGCATCTATGTCTCTCAAGGGGGATTTGAGGCAAGAAGTAGCTGCCCCTACACCAGGGTAAAGTGATTGGAGATTCATTCCCTGTGAACCAAAACTCCAAAATATCAGTAGCAGGACAATTTAGAGAGGAGGCTGGGCCCTGCCCAGATGGAAGATAAGAAACCACATATTTCTCATTCTTGAAGTCATGAGACCTCACTGACTATACATTCACAGAAAAGCTTCTTGGAGTTCAAAAGAGGAGTGATGCCAAGCTACTTATAGTCTTCTTTGGTGGAATCCATCTTGTATAAGCAATGTGTGTGCACACATGGGAGGATCCCAAGATATACCAAATATGGACTTTGAACCAGGCAAATAAAAATGAGTGGCCAAAGGAAACCCAGAAGAAATGCCCCATAAAAACAATCCACACCATCATGAAAGCGTGACTCTGCAATTCTTTCTCTCTTGGAGTCTGCCTGTGTGTCTATACACATGTACTGTATTCTTTTTTCCACCTACCTAAGCACTTTAGTTTCACTACTTTCTGTCCTTGTGGAAATTCTTTTTAGCAATGCCAAAGAGCCAGGACCTTGTCACTGACGACTGGTCCAGTGGCTAGGGATTCTGTGCTCTCACTACTGTAACCCAACATCAGTCTCCAGCTGAGAACCAAAGACTCACTTCAAGCTGTTGCAGGTTGAAACCACCTGAGATATATCTGATAATGCTGCAATGGTAATCATTTTTCATTATATAGGTATATCAAATCAATGAGTTGTACACTTTAAATTTACACATTGTTATATATCAATTATATCTCAATGAATCTGAGGTGCAGGGAGAAAACAATGACCAAAATAACACTAAATCTGTTATCTACTGAGCCCAAACTCTGGTCCATCTCCATCTCCCATGGGGAGAATCTCTTCGACTAAGTCTTTCAACTTCTCAGATACTACCCTCTACGGAAGAACTCAGGATGATTGCTATTTAGCTATTTATCATTATTTCTGCTCTCTAATAAAAAATTTACAGTAGGAAAAAAAAAGAAATATGCTTTTAAGAGCATTCAAGAAGAGAGTATGTTTCTGCTCCTATTTTTTGCTCCTATGTTTTGCTGTATTCTTTGGTGAGAGACTTCTAAGAGAATCACTTAATTATAATAGCTTATCTATTTAACTTGTTCTTCAAAGAACTTCTTAGATTTTCTTAACACATTTTATTTTTTGAGTTTGTTAATTCATTAATGTTTGATTTTATCACTTTGTAGCCATCACCCTGCTTCCCTCTTTTCTTTTTTGTTGTTCTCTCTATTTGAATATCTAATTATTTTCTTTCTATTCTTTGGTAGTTAAGATCTTTGAGTGTATAAATTTGACTTTGAGTTCATTTACATAGTAACCAATAAATCAAATTCCATTAAACTGAAGCTTGATAAGAATGCATATTCCTGAGCACCATTTATATTTTGGTAGGTTTGAAGTGGGACCTAGAAATCTGTATTTTTTAATGAGATCCTCAGATCACATATAGGGAAATCTCATCATATTATGAACGTTTATGTTCTCATTACTATTATTTTATTACTACTATTTTCCTAAATTCACTCTAAGAACTTTCACTTGTACTTTGTCCCAAAAGTGTTTAATTCTGTTTTAATTTTCAAGTGGTTGAGTTTTTCATTCACACTTTCATTAATGTCTAGTTTTTTTTTTTTTTAGTTTTTTGATGTCGAATTTTATTTATTTATTTATTTATTTATTTATTTATTTATTTATTTTTATTTTTTAATTTTTTTCATTTATTTTTATTAGTTGGAGGCTAATTACTTTACATCATTGCAGTGGTTTTTGTCATACATTGAAATGAATTAGCCATGTCTAGTTTTATTCTACTGAGATCAAAGAAGATGACCTGTGATATTTGCTTATTTTTTCTTTTTTTTTTGAAAATTAAAAATCTAAAAAGCACAACAGTTTAATAAAAAAAAATCCCTATCACCTAGAATTAACTTTTGCTTTTTTGCCATATTTGCTTCTATATAAAAGAGGAAATACATTTTTAGAGATTTAATTAAATTTCCTTTTAATTACTGTCCTGTGTCCTATTTGATTCCCTCTTCCTCATGGGTACAAATTTATGGTATGAACCATAAATTGGTTCATAGAATGGTATGAACCATTCTAGTATATTTTCAATAGCTTCATATATATATACACACACACACACACACACCATAGAGTGTTGTGCTATTTAATTAGGTTTTTGAGATCTACATATATGAATTTCTTTAGATCTAGTTCATTCCTTTTATCTTCTGTATTCTAATATTAATCACACTATATTAATACATTCCCCTCTTGACAGACATCACATACCTATTTTTTTTTTCTTGAGGGTTACTAAAGTGTTTGTGGCCTAATGCTTCAAATGCTATTAAATGCTGGCAGAAACCTAGGGGGAAAAGTACTTTTTTGCATGGTATAAACCAGAATAATTAGAAATTTATACATAAATTTGAAGTTATTTGTTCTATTATTCAAGTGCTAGATCTTTATTTCTTCTACTTAATCTGTAATTAAGTTAGATAAATATGTTAATAGCTGCCACTACTATTGTTTGCCTGTCAATTTCTACCTATAACTTCCCACCAAAATAGCTTCTCACTTTTAAAAATTGCAAAGGCAGAGCATACTTATAAAAGCAGTCAGAAAATTAATACTTTTATTTTTAAAAAGAAAAAATTATTCATAATTTCAGTACCAAGTAATAACCACCATTAGCATACTGGTGTATAGTGTTTCAGGGTTCTTTTTACACATTCACCATCTTTAAAGAGAGTTTACACATACTAACTGCTTAGAAATAGTTTTAAAATAAAAATATACTTGCTGTATTTTTTGGTATTGAGACATAATGATTGTATAATTTCTAACTGTACAGAAATATAAATATAAAGCTGACAGTGAAAATACTATGTACTTTCCCTGTAACTCTTTATTTCATGTACACTTTTTATCATACAAATAACTAATAACCACCTATTTTTTAAACAGTGCATATTTGTATGGTAATATAATATTTCTGCCCAATCCCGTGTAAAGATATACTGATTATCTTTTAAAATAATTTTTTGAATGCTGTAGTGCATTAACATTTTTTTACATATGTGTTTTTGCATCCTTATCCAATTATTTTCATAGGTGAGGTCTCTAAATGAGGCACTTTCAAATAAAGGTGGAAATATTTAAAATATTGATATATATGTTAAAATTGCCTTATAACAACCTACACTTCAAAATTAATATAAGAGGACATTTTCTCAGTTCTCTCTCCTGAAGATAAGGCTTATTATTATTTTTCATCTTTTCCAATATAAGACAGAAGAAGAATATCATTGTTTTAATTTGAATTTCTTTGATTGCCAGTGAGTTTAATCATTCTTTTATATGCCCATTGGCCATTTGCATTTCTTTTGTAAAATGCAGGCTCCTGTCCAGTCCTCTTCCCTTCTAAGGGTGGTATTCACCTTTCCCTTTTTGCTTTGTCAGTGTTCTTTATTTTCCATTTTTGATATTTTAATTGGGTTTTGTGCGATTCAGGCTTTCACCTGTTCACTTTACTGCCTAGTGGAATATATGTATATATATATATATATTTTTTAATTAGCTTTTAATGTCCTTTATAGAAGCTGGCTTCCCTTCCTCTTTCTTTCCCTCTCTTTTCGCTTGTCTGCTGTTGTCCTTTCGCTTCTTTCTCTTTGTTTCTGTCTCTCTCTGTTTCTCTCCCTCATTTTCTTTTTTTACTACATAAGTTTTTAATTTCGACCAAGTTGCATCTGTCATTCTGGGCCTGGCGCCGCCTCAGTTGAGGGGTGGGGGAGCGGGGAGGAGAGCGCGGAGCTGGAGGAGGGGAAGGGGCGGGGAGGAGCGGGCGGAGCAGTTGCAGAAGCTGCTGGGAGAGCGCGCGGTGGGATCACACGGCGGCCCGGCGGCGACGGCGACGGCGGCGGCGGCGGCGGCGGCGGCCCAGAGACCGGAGCGCCGAGACCGCGGCCCGCGGCCTACACGGAGCCTTCTTTTCACCGGAGGACCAGGGATCTGCAGTCTTCAATACAGAGGTACCGTGCTCCGCGCTCCCCGCCCGGTCCGGCCCAACCTGCAGTGGCAGTGCCTCCTTCCTTCTTTCCTCTCTTTCTCTCGCCTGCCGGCGCCTTCCCTGACTGCCTGCGTCACCGCGGCCGCCATGGCTGAGAACGGCGAGAGCAGCGGCCCCCCGCGCCCCTCCCGCGGCTCTGCTGCGGCCCAAGGCCCAGCCTCTACCCAGGCCGAGCCCAAAATCATCAAAGTCACTGTGAAGACCCCCAAAGAGAAAGAGGAGTTCGCAGTGCCCGAGAACAGCTCAGTCCAGCAGTTTAAGGAAGCGATTTCGAAACGCTTCAAATCCCAAACGGATCAGTTAGTGCTGATTTTTGCCGGAAAAATCTTAAAAGATCAAGATACCTTGATCCAACATGGCATCCATGATGGACTGACTGTTCACCTTGTCATCAAAAGCCAGAACCGACCTCAGGGCCAGTCCACACAGCCTAGTAATGCCGCGGGAACTAATACTACCACCGCGTCGACTCCCAGGAGTAACTCCACACCTATTTCCACAAATAGCAACCCGTTTGGGTTGGGGAGCCTTGGAGGACTTGCAGGCCTTAGCAGCCTCGGCTTGAGCTCGACTAACTTCTCTGAGCTCCAGAACCAAATGCAGCAGCAGCTCCTGTCCAGCCCTGAGATGATGATCCAAATCATGGAAAATCCCTTTGTTCAGAGCATGCTTTCAAATCCTGATCTGATGAGGCAGCTCATTATGGCCAATCCACAGATGCAGCAGTTGATTCAAAGAAACCCAGAAATCAGTCACCTGCTAAACAACCCAGATATAATGAGGCAGACCCTCGAAATCGCCAGGAATCCAGCTATGATGCAGGAAATGATGAGAAATCAAGACCTGGCTCTCAGCAATCTTGAAAGCATCCCAGGTGGCTACAATGCTTTACGGCGCATGTACACTGACATTCAAGAACCCATGCTGAATGCCGCACAAGAGCAGTTTGGGGGTAATCCATTTGCCTCGGTGGGGAGCAGTTCCTCCTCTGGGGAAGGTACACAACCTTCCCGCACAGAAAATCGTGATCCACTACCCAATCCATGGGCGCCACCACCGGCTACCCAGAGTTCTGCGACCACTAGCACAACAACTAGCAGTGGCAGTGGATCTGGCAGTAGCTCCAGCAGTGCTACCGGAAACACAGTGGCTGCAGCCAATTATGTCGCCAGTATCTTCAGCACCCCAGGAATGCAGAGCTTGCTGCAACAGATAACTGAAAACCCCCAGCTGATCCAGAATATGCTGTCTGCTCCATATATGAGAAGCATGATGCAGTCTCTGAGCCAGAATCCAGATTTGGCTGCACAGATGATGCTGAATAGCCCTGTGTTTACTACAAATCCTCAGCTGCAGGAGCAGATGCGTCCACAGCTCCCTGCTTTCCTGCAGCAGATGCAGAATCCAGACACGCTTTCGGCCATGTCAAACCCAAGAGCAATGCAGGCTTTAATGCAGATCCAGCAGGGGCTACAGACATTAGCCACTGAAGCTCCTGGCCTCATTCCAAGCTTCACTCCAGGGGTGGGGGTGGGGGTGCTGGGAACGGCTATAGGCCCTGTAGGCCCAGTCACACCCTTAGGCCCCATTGGCCCCATAGTCCCGTTTACTCCCATAGGCCCCATTGGGCCCATAGGACCCACTGGCCCTGCAGGTCCCCCTGGCTCCACTGGCACAGGCGCCCCCCCTGGGCCTACTGTGTCTAGCTCTGCACCCAGTGAAACCACGAGCCCAATATCGGAATCTGGACCCAACCAGCAGTTCATTCAGCAAATGGTGCAGGCTCTGGCTGGTGCAAATCCTCCGCAGCTGCCAAATCCAGAAGTCAGATTTCAACAACAACTGGAACAGCTCAACGCAATGGGCTTCTTAAACCGGGAAGCAAACTTGCAGGCTCTAATAGCAACAGGAGGCGACATCAATGCAGCCATTGAGAGGCTGCTGGGCTCCCAGCCATCGTAATTACATTTCTGTACCTTGAAAAAATGTATCTTATTTTTGATAATGGCTCTTAAATCTTTAAACACACACAAAATTGTGCTTTACTTTCAGTTTGATTCTTTCAACTCTGTCTAGTTATAAAGTTAATATGCATTTTAAGGTGGAGTCCTTTCCTCCCTCTTTGTTTCCTCCCTCCCTCTCTCCTTCCTTCCCTCCCTTCCTCTGTTTTGAATGGTGAGAATCAATGCTGTTTTACTCAAAGGTGTTGCATGCAAACACTTCTTTACTCTACATTTATTGTGATTTTTGGAAACAGATATCAACCTTTACAGTTGGGTGAACAAGTTTTGTCCTACAGATGTCCAATTTATTTGCATTTTAAACATTAGCCTATGATAGTAATTTAATGTAGACTGAAAATATTAAAAACAGAAACAGATTAACTGAAGCTCTCTAATTTGTGGTACAATATTGCTTATTGTGACTTTGGCATGTATTTTTGCTAGCAAAATGCTGTAAGATTTATACTATTTGATCTTTTTTGATATATTTATACACAGTACAGTAAGCACAATTGGGACTGTACATCTCGATAAATTGCAGCAGAATCTCTGAGCAGATATGTATAACCAAAATGAGAAAGAATATAAGAAATATTTCTGGAGCTCGGTATATCTCACAATTTTGTAGAATCTTACAGCATCTTTGATAAACTTCTCAGTGAAAATGTTGATTAGGTAAGTTCAGTTAAAATATAGTAGAAATGTTTATCCTGGTATCTCTAAGTATACATTTAATTGTACAGAAAACAGTGTGATGTGTCAACATTTGCAAATTGATTGTATATGATCTTAATCTTAGTGCAGCCTGAGGGATCAGTATAGTAATGCCAGGAAAGTGCTTTTTTAAGACTTCTTCTCAGCTTCTCCCATAAAGAGATCCTAATACGCATTTTGATTTGTAATTGGAAATGTAACTTTCACTGAAAGTGTCATGTGATGTTTGCATTACTTTTAACTGCTGTGTATAAAGAAAACTGTATCTTTTGACTCCATCAGTTATTTCTCTTGTGCACAGGGAAAATGCATTAAAAATGACTAAAAAAATAAAAAATGAATAAATTTTTTTCTTTTTGCCTTCTGTCCATAGGATCATGTTTGGAAGGATTGCACAACCCCAGGATTATATAAATCTTGTCCTGTATTTCTCTAATTTTAATGGTTTAGTTTTTTATTTAAAAAGTACCTTTGCCCTGTCTAGAATTATTTTGGTGTACAGATTTAGGTATTTTACATTTTTCCATCAAGTTTAGACAGTTGTTACCTAGTATTTATTTCATTGTCCACATTCCCCCTCCATTTGAAGTGTCATACACACACACACACACACACACACACACACACACACACACTTTATTCTGTTTGAGTTCTTTTTAGTACCACTGAACATTGTAGCCCCAGTACACCAGCCTGTAGTTATTGAGTTAGAAATATGACTTCATATCTCCTAGGGCACATCCTCCTTTTGATCTCTTTTATTTTTCATAATTTTCTACTGATTCCAATATGTTTATTTTACCAGATGAACTTTATAGTTACTAGATAGCCACCCCCCCAATAAATTGGTAATTTGGTTAGGATTGTCTTAAATTGATAAGATAGTGAGAAGTACAGAATTACAATGCTTTCCAGAAACATAATATATTGCCTCATTAAAAAAAAAAACAGTTTTACGTCCTTCAAGAGTTTTATTTATTTAAGCCCCATATAATTTGTAATAAATATATTCCTAGTAATACAGATATATAGGAAACAATTCTCCAGTTGGGAGTTCTTACTCAGTCTGTTACCCATACTGTGCATTTTTTCTATATAAGGGAAGAATGTATTTTCACAGATTGGTTTTAAGTTGACAGTTTACTGAAATCTACTAAATTCAAAGGTTTTCAGTTGATCCTTTTGAGTGTTTCCTAGCAATCAGTCATACCAATGGTAAAGTTATAATGATAGATTATTTTCAAAATTTATAACATAGATTCTAACAGCATGGGTTAAACAATTCCTGCTAAAGAAAAAATTAATGGCAGTGACATTCTTATTTCTCATTTTAACCAGACTATGTTTGCTGCAGCAATTCTAAATTGCATTTTTGAAAGCCATTTCTCTGGGACATGGTCTAATAGGTTTGCAAAATGCTGTATACTGTAGCACCTCTTGGACAGTAATTATGTAGTAAATTTTGACTAGTATTATTTTCTTAAAAGGAATATGTTCTTCAGTTTAAAAGAGTAAAGACTATTTAAACTTTTACCTAACTCAACATTGCCTAAACTTACTTAAATAAAGAACTACTTTTCCCCTTTTAAACACAATACATTTGGCATATCAATATTGCTTAGAACACCAACTTAGGAAATGGTGTTTTGTTATTTCACTACTGTATGAAGCTGTGTGTTTATGGTAATTATAATAACAAAATTTTCCACAGTGAATTTAAGAATTTTTATGACATGAGTGATTTTATACATCAAATCATATCAATACAAAAATAAGCCAGTAACATAGAAAATAACAATAAAGCAATAGTCATAGGAAAAAGTGGATGGATGTTTTCTGAGGCCTGACTCAGACAATTTAGCAGGTAAAATTCTTTCAGGCATTGAAGGAATTACTCTTGCCAAATGTTTCTCTGCCTTTTAGTATGTTTTGTTTTCTCCCTGAAAAAGCCCACGTCTTTAATTTACTAATGCTATTTTTGTTGTATTTTTGCTTTCCAGTTTGTTAATTCTTATTTGTAGCTCTACTCCCTCTTTTAAAAATTTTTTTATACTGTTCTTCATCTCTTACATGATGTAATTTCCTCTTATTATCTTATAGGCTCTGTTTTTGTTTTGGGTTTTCTGTATTTACTATTAATTCATAATTTATCCATGTATTCATCATTGAATAAGAAGGGTATATCCTAACCTGCTGTCTGTCCCTCCAATAAGAGTGGGGTAATTATCTTATGCTTTCATTATTTAAGTGGTTGTCACTCCCTCCCTAAGCTTACACTGGATGGCAAAATGGTGTAAGTTTATAGTACTGACTTGGTGATTCAGCAGGATGAAGTGGGGAGGGAGCTAGGCTCAGGGGCAATCCCAGCAGGAGAGGTTCACCTTAAGATCGCATTCCTCATTTGTTCTTTTGGCCTCTACTTCAGGTGTGTGATGCCATGTATAGTCACCACTTGTGTGTGGCCAGTTGGGGATGGGGTCAGGGAATGGATATACAACATTGAAATAAGTCCTGTTGGTTTATTAATGAGGACTCACATCAGGTTGAGACCATCTTGTTTAATGATATACCATGGTCAGAGACACTGAATTTGCCTTCTGAGAAGGGGCAACCTGCTCCAAAATCTCTTCATGTACAATGTCAAAATAGCAACAAAAGGAGTAATTCCTGTCAGAGCCTAGCCCAAGGATTGGGGTTAGGGTATTAGGAGAACCCTTTGGCCTGTGTTTCATGTCCACAAGAATACCTCAAATTCAGAATTTTAACATTATTATCAAATGAATTTATTATTCTAACCATACAACTAAGACTGACCTGATAGAAAATGTTCATAATGCAGCTTAATTTAGTAAATATAAACTTTTAACAGCTTAATTTAGTAAATATAAACTTTTAAAACTATGTGGCAATTTTTATATTCCCAACTTAGCATTATTTTATTAAAGAATGTATTGGGAGACTTAGATAAAGGAAGTTACTCAGGCTTGCCTCAATTGATGAGTGGTTCCCATTCCAATTTTTTCACTGCCTGCCCCCCACCTTCAATCCTTGCTCCTTTAAACTAGATTGTATTAGTGGTTTTCTGCCAGGATTTTCTTGATTTGTAAATATATTACAGAACTTCAGATGGGTGATATCTTTCAATATGGCCCCATCAGCATCATGTCTTAAATAAATTTCCTTGAGAATTCTAATGCCCTTGTTGTTGGTACAGGTTTTGCTCAATTTTTTTTAATTTTTTCATTTATTTTTATTAGTTGGAGGCTAATTACTTTACAATATTGTAGTGGTTTTTGTCATACATTGACATGAATCAGCCATGTTACCTGTGGTAATTTCTATTGATTTGTGGGAGGGAGGGCAAGAATTGGGGACCTGTTCCATTGCTATCATCTTCCCAGAAGTCTGTTAGGAAACTTAGGGGAAAAACGATGTTCTAAAAATAGAAAGGAGAAAAATGATTTGGCAGACATCAGACTGAAGCCACCTCAAAGAACAAAATTGTCAGGTGGTGTACATTCTTACCAAGGTTTTGAACATTTTGATATTAATTACCATTGGCAAAAGTTAATGCTAAACCAACACCTCCAAAGTTTGAGTAAGCCACTCTCAAATAAGGAATTGTTTGTCCTGAAGTACATAGACAACATTATTCATCAGATAGATATGTATTGACACATATAGCTTCAGCTATACTGAGATATCTATGCACAGATTTGGATTCCCTAAACACTTCCAAAATTCAACTTCAGAACTTCTTAGCCCAATGTGAGGATTAGCGAGTTTAAGGTAATTTCAGGGAAGATGCTGTAATTTATTATTAAAAATTGTTGATATGCTTGATTACTCAACTTTAGCATGGATTTCATAAGATTGTTTCTATTAGATTAGAAGGACAATAATAGCTAATATATTCATGCTTATGTTCAATTTTCATAGCAACCCTATAAGGTAGTACTACGATTATCTTCCCAAGTTTACAAATAAGGAAATAAACTAAAAGAGATTAATTTTTCTGGAGTCTCATTGCTATTAAGTGATAGAGTCAAAATTTGAACCCAATTCTGAGATTCAAGAGTGTGTACTGAACCAGTTGATGCTTTTGCTCTCCCCTGAACCTATTAAAATATACTAGTCTATTTACAAAAGAGATTTTATTATAAATTATGTACTCACTTGCCTCCTGGGTGTTGTTGTGGCAACATATTAGTTGTTTTTAAATGAAGCATCTCTGCTGCTGTTCAC